TCTCTTGACGCCTTTCCTGGGGAAACCGATTTGCACACACATGTATATGTTTTCTGTTTATGTATTTCTGGGTCTGGAGACTCAGGACTTACGATCACATCTGACTCATCCGACTCATCCCACGTTGGTGCTTTTACCAAGCTTCTCATCATCTGGAAGGTACCGGAAGCCTGCTAGAAGCTTAGCATGTTTGCCTCTTCCCATGACTCTGACCTGGGGTGGCAACCCAATGCGGCACTCTATGCATGTTGTTCGCAGCTAAAAAGACACACATATATATATAATCAAATTAGAATGCAACTGCTATACTTGCATGACATAGGACTTGCTGCCCATGCCAAGGAAACACTTGCACTGGTGTTTAAATGAGCGAACACATGCAGCCTGCCTCGGCTGATCCAAAGTTCACAAAGTTGGAAGAAATCCATTGACTTCCTTCTGAAAGCTCTTTGGGCGCCATCTTGCCCATCTTGCCAACGTGCAAGTTCACGTCAGCAATGCCCATCATCTCCAAGAAAGATGTTGCTTCAACAAGGGAGTCTTCTTGCAACATGATGCCCCACAACTCGAGGCCCGTCGCACTGAGTTCATCTTTGAGGATCTCAGGGGTAAAGTAGCTCTGAGGTCCCATCACCACCCTGCGGACAATGTTCCGCTTGATCTTGACCTTCGTGATTTCCAACGATCCTGCAGGAACATTGCCAGTCTCTCTCTCTTTATATATATGGATTTGTATTATATGGTTCTTTGGTGACTTAGGACTTAGGACATACAGATGATGATTTGTCTGACTTGCTCCCGCAAAAAGCCCAGCCTGCCAAAAGAATAGCCACATGATCCCCCACTTCTTGGAAGCCATGGGAAATCTTGACTAAAGCCGCCAGAGGCAACGCACCATCAGAAGCTTGCTCTAGGAGGTCATTGGCTGTTGGCGGGTCAAGATCCTGCAAGGCTGGGCCCTCTTCAATCCCAGTGAAAAAAAGTTGTTTTGTCCTGAACGTCTCCCGGACCCAGCGAAATGCTTCCCCTGTTGAAGAGGGTCAAGTCAGGCGCAGAAGAAGCCTGCCCCGTAGGTGCTGAACCTGTGTCACCAGCACCTTCACTGACAAAGCCGCCAATCTTCAGCACTTCAGGCTCGGGTGTGGTCTCCAACCATTTCTGAACAATTCTGGTCTTGAGTTGTTCAAGGCTACCTGTCTTGGGAATCTTCAGTTCAACGGCAATGTTCACCATGTCTTTCCTAGGGTTGGGCACACGCAGCAAGAGAAAGAAAGGACAGTTGTATATAATATAGACACGGGCTGGGGTGGTGACTTAGGAACTACAGGCTTGGTTTGGTTTTGCCTCACAGCACATACAAAGGTTGTGATGTACAGACAAGAGTCTTTGAAAGTTTTGAAAGCTCCGACCAACGATGACTAGCAGCTTTGTAGAAAGCATTTGCCATTTGCGCATGTTCTATCAACGGCCTGTCAGCCCCCCTCAAACCTCCGCTGGTATCCGTAGATCTTGATGGTGCAACTCTTCTTGTTCACCTTGATGTTGGGATACTTCTCGGCGACCTGCCAATCAGCACACACACACACACATCATCATGTGCACACACACAAATGTTTTTCATTTTGTTTGGAAAGGATTATATATCTATATGTCCAGGTCCAGGCAAACATACACACAGGCCCTGTGACATGGGACTTCCCACCTCAGCTATGTGGGGG